TTAGCCTGTGATTTTATGGCTATAAGTTATCTTATGTTTTCCAGATATTTCAGGTGGGTAGGCAAAAATGTGTTCAGAAACAGTTGATTTTCCTTAAAACTTCTGGCAGAAAGCAAAATAGTTGCATATTTTTTACTTTACATTTTAATAGCTACAATACATTCACTTTGTACCATATTTAATATTTTCACTTTTAAGTGAAATTTATTATTTTCTGTAATCTTCCCTATCCTTTCATGCTGCTGATCAACCTGATAAAACTCAGGGAAATACAGCAAAGGAAGTAACCTCAGTTGAATGCAAATTAGCGATGTCTGTTTTTTTAACTTTTTTTTTTTTTTTAAAGAGTAAACTTGCAACTGGTATCTGTAGAAGGAGTGCTGAATTCACAAGGGACTGAACTTTGACTACATATGGTGAGCTATGTACACACTATTGCCACTGTAGTCTGTGTTTCTAGGTGCCATGGTTCTGTACGTAAACTTTCACAATATACTACATGTTTTCAGAGTGGAGTTGAAGTAAAGGATTACTTCTGTGAAGCATGGAAATAAATCACATACTGACCAATGAGAAGAAAACAAAATACATAATGGATAATGGCTGTACACAGTAAGAAAAACACTTTTTTCCCCTGTCTTTTTATTAAGCTTTTTCTAACTACTGCAATACATGGAGTAGGATGCAGCATTCCTTAATTCCCAAATATGATTCATTTCTAAAATAGGCCATGCTGTAGAGAGATTAAGGAAAGGACTGTGGAAAAAAAAAAAAGGAAAGAAAATACACTTGTGACTGCATAATTAAGAGCTATATAAAAATGAAGGTAGAGAGAAAGATAAATTGCTCTTATACAAGAAACTAATTTTGACATTTCTTGTTACCAGAGTGTTTGACTTTCAAATACTTACCTTTTATGTTACAAGTCATATAAGTACAAGCTTATGTTTAAAACATTAAAAGTAGCCTTTCTACATTATCTGGTAAAAATAAGACAGACGTCTTATTGATGCAACCCAAACAGGAATCAATTTTATTTTTTATTTTTATTTTTTTTTTTAAACAAAATGTGTTTTTGGTCACATTTACATAAAACTGTGAGGACTACAGAAAAGCAACACTTAGCTCAGCCAGGTGGCAGTGAGAGGAAAGCTCTTGGATCCAGTCACACTGGTAGGGCTGCATGCAAGGAGAGCCAAAACTGCTGGGATAAAGCTGGGAGCATGTGCACCAACGGCTGTTCTGCCCCTCATTGGAACTAGTTCTGTCATCCAGCACTATGAATCCAGTCCCTGTTTTGGCTCCCAGTAACTGACAACAGCAGCACCTCTTCATACCTGCACTTGTGTCTTGTGTTGGGATCTGTGCTACTTTAGTCATTTTTATTTTTTTCCCAGCAAAAATATGTATACTGATTTTAATTTTTAAACTAAAAATGGGAGTTCAATAATTCTTATTCTCCCTCTTTTCTGCTTGTGGAATCTACAGATATCATTAGTGCCTTGAAGCAAGAGTGATATTTCTTCATTTGCAGTATACTCTTTCTATGGAGGGTCTAATCAGAGGTTGCAGATGAATCATATAGAAGCAAACAGGAGTTTTGCCTGAAGGTCAAAAGTACTAGATAGACTTAACTTTTTGGTGGTTTCTCTTTTTTTTTTTTTTATTTCCCCCCCCCGCCCCCTCCAAGATACCTGAATCTAGCGTGCTCCTTGTGTCTTTTCTTGATATATTTAAACAAATCATTGAAATATCACAGTTTCTCAGAGATGCCTCCTATTGTGTTTTCCTTTTTTGTTTCACTAGTGTATTTCACATGTCTCATTCGGGACAAGAGGTTGTGCTTTTCAGATGTTACATTTACTTAGCCATAGGCCAAAATTAATATGATCACTCAGAAATCCTGAAAGCATAAATTCCTTCTTACACTGAGAATGGCAATCACCAGCAAGCAAAACATGTAGACTAATTAAATACTACTGAAGTGTAATATTGAAAAGTAAGTCTCAGAAGTAGGTTTTTTGGATTCACAGATGCACATAATAATTTAGGTTAAGAACAACTGTTCTCTTTGTTTCAATCTTTCTCATCCATTAGTTATCAAGTTTTCTGTGAAAGAGTATCAGCAAAGACAAGTATTTTCTATGGTTGAAGCATGGTTGGTGTGTGATGCAATTTTCCACAACATATATATGACTGTAATGGTGCATATTGTACCATTGATTTACAAGGCTGTTTACTATTAATCCTTGATCTTCTTCAGTCTCTTGTTGACTATGTCATAGTTCTAAAATCTTTTGAGTCTTAGCAGGCCCATTGTCATTGTCATAATGAGAAGCTGTAAAAATGTCATGACCTCCAATCCCCACAACTAATTTTAGAAGGGATGAAACAAGCCTTTTTTAATAAGGTATAATAACAATTTAAATATGTTCTCCTCATTGTATCCAGAGGTGATGATACAGAAGTTAATATACAGACACAGAAAAAAAAGCTGTTCTCAAAACTTCAGGGGAAGAAAAAAAGCTTTTCTGTCCTTTTATTTTGGTAGAAAGGTATAAATTATACATATAAAATAAACTATACCCAGCTGAACTATCATTAGGTTGTAATTTAACCTATCAATTCCTAAAACTGTGCTGTACAGGATCCTCTCTTATGGTTTAGAACTTCAGAGGCATCCCTCTGGTGCTTAGCTAAAGGTTATTTTTTATTCTCTATTTATAATCAGTTCAGACCAGGAGCTTCTGTCAAGGTTCTTTGTGCCATTTCAAAAACACACACAAAAAATACACAGGAATAACATCATAGATTTGAAGTTGCAGTTATTCACAAATGGAAATATAAATAACGAAGATTCAGTGCAAGATCCGTATATGTGACTAAGAAACATTTATGAAGGTAAAAATTTTCTTAGATGCCTACTTATATAAAACAGTTGGAACCTCTGAAGGATATAGAATATGAGGATAAGTTTGGTCCATCCAAATAGCTGTGCACCTTTCCATTGTACACCTATTTTTAGGCCCTAGATCTTGCAAAAGATTTCATCATCTGGGGAAGTTTTGGTGTACCACCCACAGCTGAAAGAGAGGAGACACAGTTGTTCCATATGTGAATTAGGCCTTCTGTAGATGAGTCAACCTGTACCCATTTCTTGAATCCATTTTTAGGTACTTTTCCTTCTCTTCCTCTCTTCAGTAGTGCTGTGGTCTGGAAACCAGCCAAAGTGGAAGAAATGCACTCTGAGGGATGTTTCAAAGCAGTGAATATCAGTGAAATAAATGATATTACCCCTATAGACCAAATAAAGAATTTAACTGCAGCCAAATATAAGCCTGGACCATATGGTTGTTTGGGAAACATTCTAGATCACACGATCTTAGTCTTCAGAAAAAAAATCAATTCCAGGTGTAGGTATTGTCATTTAGCCTATCTTTATTCCAAATAGCACTTACAAATGTTATTAAACTGATTTTACATCCACTAAAATGCAGTGATCAAACAGATGTTTCTACTTTCTCTTTTCCTTCCCATCCCTTTTCACCTCCCCAGACATGATAACATTTACAAGTTAAGCAATTCAGGTGGCTGAAATGAGCAGATGGGAAAAGAATGGACTGGGTTGAGTGTAACGCTACAACAGGTGCTGGGTTTGTTACAAACATCAGTTCACTTAATACAGAAAGCATTTTAATCCAATAAAATATATTGTGTGCAGGTTCTTATATTTGCTATGTTTTTGCCAAGATAATGAGACTGGTCTTCTCTGTAGGTATAAAACCAAAAAAAAAGTGTAACATTGTTTTACCTGCAGAACATTATTTTACACCTCAGGAAATGAAATTCTTACTCTTTTGAAGAAACAGACAACATGGGGATGAAAGATCCCACTCTTTAGTAATTTTTGCACTTTGGGGGTGATTTGATAGAAAATACAGGTAAGGATTTGCCTCATTTATTCTTTGCCTCATTTATTCTTCCTATAATTTTGCCTAACTTTCTGCATCATAGTATTTCAGTAACTCACAAAGGATCAGAGAATTACATGTGTAATTTACAGTTAGGCTAAACACTCTTTAATCAGAAAAGGTAATTCAATATATGAATTGAAAGGTGAATGTGATCTCTTTCACAAATGGGATTCTCCTTGATGGTCAGTTCACACCATTCTGAGTATAACTCAGCATGGAATGGAATGTTTAGACTCAAGCAAAGTTTATTACTTTAACGAAATAATTTGTTACCACTGATAATCTTATATACCACTATTTTTCCAGCCCTATGGGAACACCTTAGAAAGCAGCAGTTTTGATTTGAGATGTTGGTTTGAGCCAATACCAAATACCACTTTACATATTATCACTTATGGTATCAATAAAACCCTACAAATATGTCTATCCTAAGAAAATACACTTTTTTTTTTCCCCCCCCATAGATTTTTACTTTATATAAATCTTCAGTTATAACATTCCTACCGGAATAACAAAGTTAAAAAACATTGCTGTAGCCAAATAGCAATTTATTCTTGCACTTACATTTTAATTTAATGAAAGATACTTTGTGTTATAGTTATTATGCTGTGGTGGAAGAACCCTGGAAGGAATCCAGCTCAGTAACCGCAAGCTGAATGGTACCAAAAATGTATGTATATATATTATTTCCCCTTGACATGGTAACCTTTTATATTTGTGAAATCAGCAATTAGTGTCTCCCACCCAGGTGAAATTTGTATTACATAATTATTGAGAAGTAAAAAAAAAAAAAAAACAAAAAACAAGACAATTTTCCTTTAAAAGGTATGTCATTGTTGTGGGCACCAGAAGGTGCCTGTAACTGTCTAGAACTACAGTTTCTAACATATTCAGAATACTCTAAATTTTGATCATACTACCTTCATTCTAATAATACCAAGACAGTGAGTAAAGCGAAAAACAGCATTTAAACTGGAGCATGTTAACACAACGCTGATGGCTTAAATGTATCTGATGGTAACTTACCTTTGAAAGGTCCCCAGCCTCCAAGTAGAAGCAGATAACAAACACGTTCCATGTAACCCAAAGGATCAACCAGACAGCATACTGTAGGGGAGGAAGAGAGGAAAAAATGCATTAATATATTTACAATCAGCTGAATTAAATTTACTGTTAGACTATTAGTTGAATCCAAGTCAAAAATGGACTATAAATATGGTGCATAAAAAAGAGAATCAAGAATAAATACTTCTCTTTTACAGCCACAGTCTAGCGTGAACTAATGAACCCTTGGTCACATAAGAAAATCTCTATCTGAGAAAACAAGTAATAGAACTGGCATTTCAAATTTGAGGCTAATCCAGATCTCTTATTGTCGTTTAAATGGAAAATATTGTAATATTAAGACAGACATGTAATATCAATGATATGCGAGAAGTACAGATCCATTATTATCAAGAATATATCTGTTTTGGTAAATTTTGTGCTATTCTAAAAAATATGGAGTGATTTCCCTAGGCCATGACAGCTGACTGCATCAATATATTTTGTGGCATTCCAAACCATGGTTCAAAATTGTTAATCACCCTCAGGAGCAGACTGTTTTAAATGAATATTTATTTATTTATTTATTTATTAACTACAGTGTATAGTATAGGTATCCATACTTAATATTTGTTCAGTTTGCTGAACTTATTCACATATTTGACTTCTTATTTGTTAGTTTGTTTTTATTATTTATTTATTTATTTATTTTTATTTGTAAGGTCTTATATGCTAGGACTGAAAACTAAATTTCCCTGCTGTAATGCTGGAGGATCTCATGTAAAATTTGACCTGCTATTGCTACTATTGTGTTTGAGAAATTCCCTGGACAAATTAATCCATCTAAGAAACCTTAGAATCTACAACTATTTTTCTGATGACTGTCACTGCTATCCTCTAGCTGTTCATGATTCAATTCTGTATTTTTGCTAATTTCATTCTATTCATGCATATGTGTGAAATACAACTATTATATGAAATGTACCATTCCCTACCTGTTATAGCCCAGGACTATTTCCTCATTTTATATCAGCAACCCATTACTTTTGAGTATTTACAGGCTTATTCTTATAGTTTGGTTGTCTTTTCTCCAAAATGGACTGGTTAAATTTTGTTAAGCTACTGTTCCAAATTGTGTTTAACATTGTTGGCAATTTTCTATACTCCTCTATATTATAGCACCATCTGAATAAGCAGACAACACTTTAGACTTTGTCAAACCATTTTTGTTATGAATGAAAATCTCATTCTCTAAATTCTGCAACAAACTACATGGGATTCTTCTTGCATTTCTCTTAGAAGTGCTGTTTTGCATCAGATTGTCTATCATTCAACATGGCATTTTCCATTTAATTTTCTACATACTGGCAAAAAGATACAATTTTGTCCTTTCTCAGGAGATCAAAACTGAGATCCAACATAAATAAAATTTTGGCTTGTTCCAGTGTCTTATTTCTTGCAGATAACCAAATAATTGCTGATCAGCCTAAATCTTTGGTAGAACAAATATAGATTTTAGATAATTATAATAAATATTGTTTTGATCTAATGTAATCTAGCATAGTTTTAAAGGTTCAAAATGCTTTACAAAGAAGTTATATTAGGTATTTTAAAGCATACAGCTGACATACTTCATAGGGCAGCTCTTTCTTGTCCACAGCTTTGGTCACAAATAATAAATTTATTTAGGTCAGGAGAGACCCTAAGGACATCATGTGGTCCAAATCTCTGCTCAAAGCACAGCCAGCATAGATCAAGTTGTACAGGGGCTTGTTCAGTGGAGGTCTGAATATCTCCAGGGATGGAGACTTCACAGTACTTTTAGTCTTAAGAAGTAGGCTATTAATGGACTTCAAAACACAGGAACTTAATTCAGAGTCATGGTCTTAACACATCTTTATTTTTATTTTTTTAAACCCAACTCTTAGGAATTAAATATACTGAACATTTCATTTTCTTGAGACTTGCCCATTGTACACCTGACTTTGTATCTAACATGGAGTGTCATAATTACCAGAACATGAGAAAAAAAATAAATAAATATTAATTCAGATTCAATAACCTTATATCAACTTTTTCCTAACATTTCAGCATTTTTAACTAACCATTTTTTTGCCAGTTACTTTCATACCTTAAAGTCATATACAAGTTCGCATACACTTTGAAGGAGTTATTACAAGTATGCCTTCTTACATGAAGATAATTGTGTTTCTTAAAGTGAAAAAAATGTATTGCATTTAGGCTGGTTTCCCAAAGAAACAAGACTTAAAAAGTAACATTCTGTGTTCATGTCTGTTCCCCTGAAATAACTTCTGAGCTCCTGAACAATATTATGCAAGCTGGAGAAAAGGCTAAAAGTAAATTTTTATTTATTAACTTTGTATTTATTTTTATTTATTGAGTACTTAAATTATTCCCCCCAACCCCCCCTCACCCCCCCATCCCCCCCGATCCAAAGTTTCAGGAAAAGAAGTCTAGAAGTTTCATTAGATCATAGAACAACTTGCCACATTTCATGTAAGCAACAACTGATTAAAAAGCTCCCTATGCACAGCACACCCAGCAGAAAACTCCAACAGACTTTGGAGCTGCCTGTTCTGGCAGACAGTCTTATGTTTACACGAAGAAATGAAACTTTTCTTGTTGTATAGTCTATCACACATACAAAAGAAAAAGACAAATTTATCTGTCTTTTATCTGATTTTTAGGTATACTGTTTTAACAAGCACTAGCTATTATTGGACTACAGACAAGATTTAAAAATAACTTTTAAAAGTATTTTTTAAACTGCTTCCTTTTGGAATGATATATTAAGTGTTTGTTGCCTGAATTCTGCGGATAAACACTGAGTATAATTATCTTGAAATACAAGGATGCTTCTGCTTCCTACTGCTTCTTATTTCAGATGCTTCAGATCTAGCCTCTCTCTTATCTCTGGATCACATGGAGTCACAAATGTCTCTTGTTGTCTATGTGCTTCAGCAAATTGTTGCGGAAATTCAGCTCTGAAGGTCTGTGACAATGAACAAATCCCTCTGGTACTCTCTATTATATGTATCTAATTAGAAACACATTTTTTAAGAGTTCTTCAAAAGGCTATAGCTGTATTTCTTTTTTCTTTTTTTTTTTTTTTTTTTCTTTTTTCCTCATATGTGGGAGACATAGAGGAGACAAGACAGCTGTGTTATCTGACAGAAGCCACCACAATGTTACAGCAGTCACATACCAACAAGACAAAAACCTTGATGAAAACAGTTGTACAAGCAAGAGATACTGACAGGAGGCATAGCAATGACAACAATGTTTAATATTTTTTATGGAAATCCACACTGGAAAGGGGTATAGCTTGCAGGCTAAGACTGAAGATTTAAATGTTTACTTTTTTTTTCAAAGTTGTAGCCAATCAGCAAAAGTTATTTCTTTTCATAAAATAGATTATATAAAGAAATATCTCATGTGGCAGCATATGCTTGTCATTCTTTAAGAAAAAAAAAAATAAATTACCCTCTACAATGGATTACAGGAGCTATATATTTTATGATTTATTTACACTATGTAGTCATGTAGTCTGAAAATTTGCTATTTGAAAATCACAAAATAAGACAGGATGCTTTTTTTTCTTTTTTGTATGTGTGTGTGGGGGACAACAGAGAACTGGAGTAATAAAATAATTGTAACAGTACTAAGAATGCATACATCCCTCTTCACACTTCATTCAAAGTTGGCTAAGTTGCATTGTCTCCAGTTTACTAAAAGGGAAAATGAAGGTAAAAATGAAGGTCAAATAACTGACTAAACTTAATTTCACAATCCAATAGGAAAACTTATGGCATAAGAACTGAAGGTCCAGGTATCCCACTACTGCACATGATACACAGAATCACATAGAGCTGATTTTACACAGAACCACAGAGACCTCCAAGATCAAGTAGTCCAACCTCTGACCTAACACTAACAAGTCCTCCACTTAAACATATCACTAAGCTCTACATCTAAATGTCTTTTAAAGACCTCCAGGGATGTCGCCTGAACCACTTCCCCAGGACAGCCTATTCTAATGCCTAACAACCCTTTCAGTAAAGAAGTTCTTCTTAATATCTAACCTAAACCTCCCCCAGGTGCAACTTTAGCCCATACCCCCTTGTCTTGTCACCAGGCACGTGGGAGAATAGACGAACCACCACCTCGCTACAGCTTCCTTTAAGATACCTGTAGAGTGCGGTAAGGTTGCCCCTGAGCTTCCTCTTCTCCAGGCTGAACAAACCCAGCTCCCTCAGCCGCTCCTCATAAGACTTGTTCTCCAGACCCCTTACCAGATTCATTGCCCTTCTCTGGGCTTGCTCAAGCACCTCGATGTCCTTCTTGTAGTGAGGAGCCCAAAACTAAACACAATACTCAAGGTGCAGCCTCGCCAGAGCCAAGTAAAGGGAGGCAATCGCTTCCCTAGACCTGCTGACCACACTGTTTCTTATGCAAGCCAGGATGCTCTTGGCCTTCTTGGCCGCTTGAGCACACTCCTGGCTCATATTCAGCCAACTATACACCAATACTCCCAGGTTCTTCTCTGCCAAGGAACTTTCTAACCACTTATCTCCCAGCCTGTAGCAGTGCTTGGGGTAAAATAAGTTTTGTATTTTCTTTCTAAAAGAAACAAAATGAGAAGGTCATATCCGTGATGGACATGCAAACAGTACAGTTCCTTGCAGAGGACTCAAGCACAGAGACCAGAGTCAGAAAAAAAAAAAAAAAAAAAAAAAAAAAAACACCCTCAGGTCCACAAGTGCCAACAGAACATGAATGCACAGCAGCCCTGGCAGACTTATCCTTCACAGATGAAAAAGGTGACCCTGCTCAGTCTCTTGGTAATACTGTACCTAAGTGGTCAAGCCCCTTGCAGTGCATACTGAAGCAGTTTGTGAATCTTCTGGAGAGTTACACAAATGGCTTGATATATCTAGAGATTAAAATATAACCCAAAACTAGAAGTGTACCCACTACATCCCAAAAACTAGTTAGCTGGCAACCTCTGCTAAATATCTCTCCATTAAAGGAATTCCAAGCAC